TATTGGGGTTTCTCGATATTTGTTGAGACTCTATTCTCTTTCTATTTTTTGTGCCTTTGAGAATCCCCTAAGATTGGAAGAGGCAGTCCGGAAATAGCGTCCAACTAAATTCATGGCTTTTCGGATTGCTTTGGAAGATTAAAAATAGCAAAAGTGGCAAATGTGACAGGCCTTGTCCTCATCGCCCACATACCAGTAGGTTTTCAAAAATGTTTGTACTTAGTACTCTGCTGTCTTTTTTATTGATTGTTGCAGAAAACTCCAAGGAATGTCCTCTAAAAGTGCACGTAACGCAACGATTAGACAAGATTATTGACACAGCAAGTATTATTAACACTAGAACGTCAAGAAAAGGGGGAGAGAGCTCATTAGGTAGATTATAAAGAGAAAGGCAGTGCAATTAAAGATAGATTGTTGTGTGGTAAACGGCCAACACCAGGACAAATGAGTGAGAAAGCTTTAAATTCTAAATAATTCGATTAAAGAGCTGAATGGGCAGATCTTTTTCTTCGGCCCTGTAAAACATCTCGCATGGAATTGCCTAGCCAGGAACAAACCTAAGAGTCTCAAGAGTCTCATAAAGCACTAAAAATGCTAGAAAAAAGCACAGTCCAGTCCACATTGCAGTGATGCTACAGAGTCTCAAGACAACTGAACAGATTACTTTTATATCTAGATGGAGCACCTCGCTTATATAAATAAGAAAAGCAAAGCACATACGACTCTGTTGCGTAAGCGTCAAAAGGGGTAGTTACGTTGTGCTCCCCGATAAGAATAAAAATCCTTAGCTGTGTGTGATTTCGCAGATAGGCCCTGCAAGCTTTCGTCCATATATGCGAATTATACTCCCATTTCAATGATCGGATAAGGGCGTTGTAAATGACAAAGACAACCAACAACCCGCTAATGTCACAATAAGGGGACTATTCTTAACCTATCCGATAATTATAAAAATTTTAAGGAATAAAAGTACATTTTCTAGTGATACTTATCAATATGGGAAGAATGGCCTTGAAACACATATTTTCTATGCAAATACGTTGTGTTAATTTCCTTGTTGAAATTATCAGGTCCTGAGTGATTGTACTGTCCAGTTAGCTGGGTCGATAGACTACTATGTTATATCATCATTTCCATCCTTTCTTTGAATTCTTATTAAAAACATCATGATTAGAGATATAATAATTTTTTAGTTCAATATCTACTTCAGGCTGACTATATTCTTGCATAATAAACGATTTCAGAAGATACTCTGACCAGAGTCATTTCACCCTGATGCAGCGAACAATCGAATCTAATCTAATCTAATCTCTTTTTACATAACTGTTTTGAAATTTACAATAAAAAAGTAAACCTTTAGTTCGGTTTATTTGAATTATATCTTTTTCTTGAAAATACGTTCGGGTTATAGCTTGTGCACTAAAAATAAACATAAAAGATAGATATCAACGAAATAAAGTAATTCGACCTGAATTGTATAAAATCCCTTATTTTATTGCATATGAGTACATTTTTTTTTGTTTAGAAAAGCCGCGTTTCCATAGTAATTCACGAAAAATCAAAAAAAAAAAAAAAAAAAAAAAAAAGACTAAACACAAAACTAATGAAAAAACCGAACCCGAATAAATTTTCAATAGTAAAATGGCCATAACAAGAGTTTATGCATTGTAATGACATTAGATACAATTATGTATACATATACTTGTAATCAAATATATATATATATATATATATATATATATGCATATGAGCTTATATTTATTTATATAAAGTTACTTAGTTAAAAAAAAAAAACAATGCAAAGCAAAGCAAAGCAAAGATTTCACCTCTCCTTGTCTTTATATTTTGTACGAGTATCTTATTATTTTCGTCATCGACATCGTCGGTATCGTCATAGTTTTCTTGCAACTTGACTTTGCAGCAATACCGGTTTTACTCCACTCAATCCAGTTAACTATATAGAGTTAACAAAAAACTCACATTTACTTAACATATATATACATATTGTCATGTCTACACATATATATATATATGGTAAGGTATGAATTGCATATGTATAAAATGCTGGCACATTTTTTTACGCACAATTGAAGTAAATTTTGTATTGAGTAGATTTAAATCTGTTGTCATAGGGAATTATTGCATTTAGTTGCAATCGTTTCATTTTAATTTTCTCTACCCCATCCATCCTTCACTTATTAATAGTGTTGCTGATATCTAGAAAAAGCCCATTGACTTGTCAGTCTACGTTATTATATTATTATTATTGTTGTTTTTATAAGGCCAGTGAACTACTATTTTTTTTATGACAATCACAACTTTTGTAATAACATTATAAGTAGCAATAAAAATAAATAAATTACCCCTATCTTCTATCTTTATAAAATCATAATTAACCGTTATACTATGAGACTGTCACTTTCATAGCAGGAAATCCGTAAAATGTACACCTAAAGCATACCGTATCTCGACCCATGTTTTCCCCTATTGTTGGAAAGCTTACGATTGCAAAGTGCTCGTAGATCAAGTGCTTCGTTCGTAAATAAGCTGGCAAAAGCCATTTCTCTATATGTCCTTTATATGAGTCCACAATTACGGTTAAGTGCATGTGGGATGAAAGTCATATTTGCTTAGATGGCTTCATAAATAAAGGTTATTAGCCCTTTGGTGTAACGAAAATAAATCTGATTTTTCTAAAGGACTCCTCCGTGTGTAAAGATGTCTGTGGGGTGTGGTTTGTAGGCTAAAACTGTCATATGTGAACATGAAATGGAAGAATGGAGGAACGCTACAGAAATATGATAATTGATTTTTTTGAGGCGAGTATTATATAATTTCAACTTGGCTTTTTTCGCGACAAAATCAATTGATTGGAACAAAAGTTCAATGATCTTGTAATCTCCAAAAATGTCTACGCACACAGACATCATGCGATATAACTCTATTGAATTTTTTTTGCTTTAGAGATTATTTTTTGTAGCATTGGCTTACTCCGATAAACCGCGAACTCTCGATAACCTAGACATGAGCTAATATTTAAAATAAAAGAAAATTCTTATAAATAGAAAAACATTTATTTACTGACCCTACATACCGCTGGTGAAAGTTAACATAATATTAACTTACTATGGAGATAGCTTTACACTCTAGGATAAGATTTTTTAACAACATTATCAGGTACTTTGCAACGCTCTGGGGTCTCGGAAAATGTAGAGGAAAAACGGACCCTCGTTACTTCAAGTCAACGCCTGTCAGAGCCTTTTAAAAGCAGATCGAAAGATCCTGGATTATTTCAAACTTTTACTTGTTGTTGTAATAAAAGTGGGGATACAAAGCCAAAAACTCATTTATAGTGAGTTGACCAAATTTCGAAAACTGTACGCAACACCCAAAAGGACTTGAGATAGATCCATCTTTTATTATATGGATCGATTTAAAATCAACATCGGAATTGACTTAAGCTTGTCGGTCCGTTTTTGTTTTTTTATGTACAATTGATACAATTTGTTACCGCAACGTTTCTTGACGGACGCTACTGAAAATGGCCCGGATCGCACCAGTTCCCATATAATGAATCACTTTGTAAAGTCCATGCATGAATACCTGTAGGTTGGTGCTATTACTTTTTTTTACTATAACTAATCATTCAGGCAGTGTAGCCTAGAAGAGTAATAAGGTGATGATCAGAAAGAAGTAGAGAAAGTGTTAGGAAACGATAAGTGTTATGCCTTTCCTGAGCGAGCACTTAGCTACGAACCAAGGTAGCCAACACGTATTAAGATTTGAAACCGTGAACACCGACTTGGTTGGTAGTTGCCACTACTATTTACTCGGCTATGCGATTGCGAAACTTTGCGAACTTTGAAGGGTGGTCCCCAGCTACAAAGACAAAATATCAAATCTTGAGCTGTCTATTGAATGAATTTTGCTTGGCTTCCTAAACATGCAAAATTTTGACCTAAAAAAGGCTGAAACATGTTTATCAGTCATCTCACTTTAAAGCATGGAGAAGCTAAATAAAGTTTTCCCTTGCCCTGTAGGAGTAGAGGAGAAAAGTGAAATTTCTATCAAAGCATTTAAATCTTGTATGCCTTGAAATCGTAAAAATCAATCTAGATCGACGCTTTATGGTATAAACTAAGCATTTACACGAAAGGCTTAAGGGCTTCTCACGTTTTAATTTTCATCTTAATATAATATCTAGTACATGGTTTAAAGTGTCACTGAAACGTTGAAAGAAGTCCATTGTCATGATCAGTTAACTTTGTATTTTCATTAAATTTAATTAATATAACGAAAATTATGATATAAAAAATAAATAATTATAAGCCAATGACGCCGGCACAGACAGCTATTATTATATATGTTTCAAACGTATTGCAAAGCGTAGACACACCTACATATCAATGTATGTAAATTTATTTTATATAGATAAACATGAATGAACATACATATATATGTATATAGCGAAAACTTAATCTTTGTGCGTAAATATGGAATAAAAGCCTTCGTTTCTTTTATTTATTTATTTATTTATTTTGCTTCTTATTCTTATTTTTTTTTTTTTTATTTTTTTTTTTTTTTATATCAGTAAAGACTTTGCATTAAATTATAACGAAATTGAGATCAATGCAGTCTCTTTAGTAATAGAAAATGATCGCGCACACACAAACGCATAGAATTTCATAAATATGTGTTTGTTTATATATGTGTATTATATTATATGCAGCGCACATATATGGAAGCATAAAAAATATTATATCTACATACATATATATATATATATAAACTTTCAAATATACACACAAACGTACGCACACACACACACACACACACACACACACACACTTTTTAAAAAAGTCTACACCATATATGTTTGTAAGTATGTTTGTATATAGATGTGTTGCTGCTGCTTACACACGCATACACACACTCAATCTAAAATACAATCGTGAACGATGAGTGTTAGACACGTATATGAGTTACTTAGTCGTACTTACTTCATTCGAATATATCCATGAGAAGAAAAGAAAACGACAAAAAATGAATTATTAAGGTACCGAAGTAGAAGAAGAAGTACCGCAGGTAGATATGATGTCTCTTGCGATAAACGAAATAAATATTATTTATAAGTAAAAAAATCTAAGCCGCACTTACAGGCATTTATTTATGCGAATTGGTTTTTGTGTTTGTACACAACGCCTTCAAGTGTTAGTACGTTTTCGCTCAATTTTCAAATAAATCGCACAATCGTTTTTCTTTTCAAATCTTTCATGCGTTAACCATCGTTCGAATACAGTTTTTCGCATTCTTGCAATTCAACTCGTTATTAGGTAAATAAATTAAAATTTTCGCAAAACAAACAAACAAACAAACAAATTATTCAAGAAAATATCTTTATTTTTTAGCCTTAAAGCGGCTAAATTAAGTAACACTTGTACAATATATTCAGAATAATTGTTTTACACACACGTTGCTTAACATTTGCGCACATATATAAATATATATATATATATATATATGTGAATGTGTTTAATAACATACTCACTCACACTCGCATACACACCCGCACGCACACGGACGCGTTTATTGAAATTTGGAAAAAAAAAGAGCCGGGAACCGAGCGCGATCTTAATAACACGTCTTACACATGTGACTAACAGCTGTAGACTGTAGACGACGACTAAATGTAGACTGAGAGTTAAAACACCAAACAATCTTTTGTTGTTACTTGCACGTAGCTATAGCACACCATGCAAAACAGACAGCAAGCAGCAGGCTATCTACATAACATAGATATAAAATTATGAGATTTGTGTGTATATGTATGCATGCATGTATGTATGTATGTACTTACGATTAGAGAGACAATGCACTGGGAAAAAATTTGCAATTTATTGAGAATTATAAATGAATTTAATTAAATTAATTTATCTCTGACAATAAATGTGAAAGAAAGTTTTATTATAAGCGGAAAAAAGCGAAGAAAATAAAGCTTTACGCGGCTAGTACTAAAAAGAAGAATTAGTGTTTTTTGTTTTTTTTTTTTTCATTTTAATCTTATTCTTGACCAATGTAAAGGACAACATGTCCTTAACCTCTGCAGTTAGCTTTAAAAAAAAAAAAATGCAAAAACTCTCCGGTAACCCCGATTTTTAAAAAAAAAAAAAAAAAAAGAGATCCTCTCTCTTTGCCAGACACCTGCCAACCTGTTATGCGATGAGAGAAATTTAATTTAAATCATTCCTGGTTATAACTTGTCTTACCTTCATTCAATCTAGCTATTGTTGCCATTGCCTTTCATTGCTTATAAAATTGTCTAGAGAAGAAGAAGACGAATGAAGAAGAGAAAACCTGTTGCAATAGGATTTAAGGGTAATAGCGGAAATCGAGATCTATTTTTAAACCGATGTTCATTATATTTCAAAAGCCGCAGACAGTGAGACATATGCCACGAAGGAGAAGCAGCGAGTAGAAGAAATGAACGATAGAAGGAACGTAAAAAAAAGGCTTTACAGCTTCCAGCAATAGGCACATTTCCAACTGCGCGAAAACTGAAAATTATTTTAAAATGTTTTGAAAATCCGATATCAGTTATTTAAATACAAAGAAAGTACTGGCGTGAGTTTCGTGTGTGTCAAGTTCCGTCCTTTGGATCAATGTTTCATCGTTTAATTAAAAGTTACTGTAATAGGGTTGGGACGAAACTTAAGCTGCGGCAATGGAACGCAGTCAGGGCAGTTCCAGAAATATTCGCAAGACAACGGATTAGGCGAGAACGACATTGCTCTGAATATTTGCAGCAGTTAGTGCAGCAAACATATTATACATCTCCGGTCATCCCCTGTAACGCAGATTCCATTGAAGCATATATCCACTCGCATGGTTCTGTAAGCGAACAATTGCTGCGCGCCTTTGAGATCAATGCATTTTTCCTCTGCATTTGCTGCAGTGATGTATATCTTGTCTTGTCTTCTAACTCTCATTATAGTTTACGCATTAGCAACTTCGACCTGAAATGAAAGGTTACTTTTCGTATTCGTCCTTAGGCCATAGCAGGTCTCAAAACTTGCGAGCTAGAGCTTGAACACAAAAACAAAAAAAAAAACACGACGGGCAGACAAGTTTAGATCACAAAGTGGTTTTGCATGGATCGATATAATAAAAGATGGGTCTATCTCAAGACCTTCCGGATGTTTTATATATATAACTTCATATCACTCGTATCGCAGGAGCTGAAGGCTATAAAAAGAATACAATTGTTGTTGTGGCCATTGGGCTGACCACTCGTCTATCCTTTATTTTTGAAAATCTTACTAAAACTAAGTAGAAAATTAAAACTTGAAACGCGACAGATAACTAACTTAGAGTCATCAATCAATTTTAATTAAAGCGGGAATCTCAGACTTGCTTAGATATTCTCAACCCCACCCCCATGTAAATTGCAGGATAAAAACTTAAAACTTTGATCGTATAATTTTTTCATTCAGGGCACGAATCAATTTCAACCCTTAAGTAGTTACTCAAACTAATTTGCAATATTCGTGTTTTTCTTTTACTTACCATCGACATTACAGGTTAAACTCAGTCCGGACTACTACTTAACATTAGATCAAAACTATTTTCGTATTTATGTATATGAATACATATAGAACGTTACATATATGCATATGCATATATATGCACGATTCAATTCGTAAGAATGAAGAGTAAGGAAAAGTGTTAAATAAAATTATTTATTCATATTTTTTACGGCTTGCGCTTAATTGCGACGGAAAACGATTTTCATACGTATTTAATTTTTAATTGCTTTTTCAAAAGCGTTTTAACTAAATATTTATTACAATTTACATTAGGATATAAATTGGCTTCTGAAATAAATTATTTACTGCTTGCTTAATGAGTAGAAAAATTTTGTCATTTAATGTTTTGAATACTTATTATTAAAGAAATTTATTAATTTATATATATATATACATACACATATATATATATATGTATATATACAGTTACGAGTCCGCCAGATGCTTTAGGAAAAAAATTTTAAAAAATTCAAAAAGTGAGTTTAATCGATTTGGCAAGTGAGGCATTCCTATAACAGTATATATATATATTTATATATATATATATACATGTATAATAAAAGGACTTTTTTCCGTCGAATGCCATAGTGCCAACAATGAACCTTGTAAGTAAGCCCATAAACCTCCACTACCGCTTACAAGCCTCCACTACCCTTTTACGAATTAAAAATGGAGTAATTGTTGTAAAAACTTGAGTAAGAGAAACCTAAAAGGAAAATTTCAAGATACTTTTCTCAATGATTTGGAATTTGTTCCAAATCTTCCAAGTATTTGGAAAGATTCAATGGAAAAGTTGTACATTGGTATGTTCACTATTAACAAAACGTTTATAAGCAAAACACTGCTCAGGTGAGTGTTGTCCATTTCTAAACTTTAAAAACTTTATTTACATTTGGCATAATCTTTATGCAAAAAAACTTGGAGCAGATGCACATTTTATTGCAACGATTCATTTAGAGTCACTTTCTGAATCGATCTAAGCTTGTCTGTCCGTTTTCCCCTCTTCTTTCAACCTAGAGGCCACAATTTTTTACATATTTTATTAAAATTTTATACAAATTGGTCGATTTCCATCCAAACCTTCGCTGCCGCTCTCTTCCATGCCCTCAAACACGAATCTCAAATTAACAGGTATTTCTATATTTAACTTTTGAAAGGCTTCCACTGCATGTATCCAGCATAAGACAGATCCTTTATCATCGCTAGCACCGCGGCCGTATAATTTTCCCTCAATTTCAGTTAAAGTGAATGGCTCAGTATTCCAGCCATCTTCTTTAAAGGCAGGCTGTACATCCAAGTGGCCATAAACCAAAACAGTTTTCTTTTTTGGATCCTAATTAATATCAAAGATGGATTTCTTAACTCTTGGCAAGCATTCTTTACCTTTCCTAGTTTACCTAAGATGACTTTTGGCAATGGTATGGTTTTGCCATCGAGCAATTTTTGTTCACCCAAATCAGCGAATTCGATTTCGGTACTTAAAGCCCTTAATTTATCTGCGCACTATTCAACCATACGTTGTACTTCATTGCGTTTATCTGGCCAGGTCGATACTGATGGTATTGCGACTGCAGTTATTAAAGCATCAATATATTGACTCTTGTTGGCATCAATATAACTGGAAATGTTCAAATGAGGTATAAATTATAAAAACAAATGAAATATGATTAAGAATAAATGAGATATTAAATTGATTGTTTTTTCATGATAACGGTAAAAGATAATAACAAGCATTTATAGGGGGGTTCATACAGTTTTCATTGCATAAATGTGGGAAAGAGATTGCTTTCGTTTATGGTTAATAAGCTATCTGTTATTAATTTGTGTAATTTTAATGAGTAATTTTCAAGTGGTCCTATTTGGGGAAGCCGTTATATGAATAACTGTAGGGTGGCCCACTACATAGAGTTTTTGTTTACTTAGTTATGCAAAATTCTTCAAGGCGTACACTGTCTAACTTACTTAATTTTACTTTCCAAAGCATTTCCGCCGAAAATAAGTTCCTTTTACTGGGTACTTTTTTTGAAAGCCATACCATCGAAAATATAGGATAAAATGGTAAAAACAAGGTTTAAACATCGAAAAAGGAAGAACTAGAATATGTCGGCAGATTTGGATTCAGAACTGATCTTTATTTTTTTTTAATGCTTTTCTAAGTTATTTATATCAGAGCAACATCGAAATTCATCTCTTCTTCCTCTTCTAAATGGTATTTCTGTTTGAATATCTACAATGATATAAATATATATATAAATTGCGCCCATGATATACTCAAATTTAATGATATGATTATAATTCTTACCTTAGATGGAATTTTCCTTTTGTACATCGATGTGAACCTGTGACTAAGAAATCACTTTCCCACCCGCACATAACTTATTGCAAACTATCTTCTAATTTCTCAAATTTCTCCTTTTACGTCACCTTCGCTCTTTCGTTGTTGTATTTGTTGATCGTAGGCATTTTTCAAGCAATTAAAACATTTCTAGTTTGCGACAATAACCTTTGCTCTATTTCTTCGACAGTTTCCATGATGTAAACTATATTTATAAACTAAGATAATTTAATTTTATTACCACAAGATTGTGCAAGATTTTTAAAATGAAAACATTACCTTTTATATCTTCGTAAACTTAGATCAAAAAAATATTTTTTTCTTCAAAATATCCACCGTCTTCATAAAAAATTGCAGGAGACAAAGGGCCCACTAAACTTTTCCATTGCCAAATTTTATTACTTCCATTAACTTAACTTAATTAACTTAATCCTCTAAAAATATTCTTAAATTCTTATTTCCCTTATCATCTCAATTGAAAATAATATCATCATGTCACGGTACTTGTCTTTAATGATGCAAAAATGTCACGCATTATCGGAATTTGATTTTCTATATATTTTTACGTTTATATCGGATCTATTTCGATTCCTGGCCTACTACAGAAATTCACCTGTGTTGTTTGATCATTTTAGCTGCTCAAAACTATATTCATAATTGAGAGAAATGTTCATTTTGTCCAAACATTTGCCACACCTAGAAGAAAATTTCAGAGATGCTTCACTTGATCAACGTTAAACTCAGAATCAATTAAGTTTGTCCATCTGCCTTTCTGTGCCAAAAGTTCTCCTTACCGTAAAAAAATTAGCAAAAACGTTGGAAATTCTTGTTGTTTGCAGGATGCTACTGAAAGCAGGACAAATTCATCAAGGGATATACCTACGATGCAGTGAAAATTGAGAAAACTTCTGTTCTCCAGGCTTTTTCTCCAGGCTCAGTGCTCATAAAAGCGACAAGATAGTTATTTCCACGTACATCCGACAAAAATGGGAAGAATTAACCCCGCCTACCTTATTGTATAGAATATGAATATTTGGCTTTTTCTTTTTTCGAAATTTTTTTTTATAGATAAATCTGATGTTATAGAAAATAGGCTCACACAGCCGTATGCAATTTTAAGCAGACTTCAAAATAGCTCGCAAAGTGCAAGGCAAGACTTATTTCGTGGAGGCACAAAAACGCTTGTTTTAAATCAACGACGTGAAGTAAACGTAGGACAGCTATCTGCGCGATCCAAATAATATTCATGTTCCGCATTATGGAGAGCGTTCAAGTTTCAAATTCCTCAGCACATACGAAAACAATTTGTTTTTCTACTAAATTAACATTTATTAATTTAACCTAATGTTGAGAAGGGGTTATTACAGAGAGCTACAAAAATTCATATATATACATATATATATATATATATATATATATAAATATACTTTTTTTTTTCAATAATTTAAAATTCTCTCCATCACGACAATCAATATAAGGAGAAGCATGCAAAACTGATTAGTTTTCACCTAACTAAAGCTGGAAAAAATCTTAATAATTTTAAAACTGGTGTACAGGCGTACTGGTGTACTGGCTTAAATATTTGACATCAAAATAGTGCGAATACACAAATGTTTGAAAAAAGAATAGAAAAACAATTATTTTTTCGCCCTTTAAGCTCCAAGAAGGCCATTTCCAACTCATTTAATTCGAGATTAATTGTATTCTTACGAAAAGAACGTACGTACAAATCCCTTAATTGTTGTGCGGCAAACCGGGCATTGCTCAACGCCGGGAGCGCATTGGACACAGGTCACTGTAATCAAATGTTTATTTGTTTTTTTCTTTCAAATATTGTTTTGCTTAATCACCACTTACCTAAATGTCCGCATGGTAAGTATACAACACCAACTTCTTCATCCAAACATACCTTACAGAGGCGAGCATCTTTCAACTTGCGATTTTCTTCTTCGAGAGTTAAACGACTTGGAGATGATCTGCCAGCGGTCAAAGCATCTTTATTGTCAGCTAAAGATTTGTCTTGGAATTTATCGCAAGCTTTTAAACTAGGTTTTTCGTCACCAGAAATCACCACATCCCTCGATGGAGTTTCCAAACGATAAGTTGAATCCCTTTGAAGTCTATCATTGCCTCTAACAACTGATACACTAGCTGCTATATCACCATTTATCCCATTTATCATAGTTCTGCTGTTGTTGCTTAGAATACCAGTACAATCGCTCCCAAGCGCTGGAATTGCATATTCAATTGGATCTTCGCTATCCCGATCGTCAAATACCGCTTTTATTAAATCTTCAACCGTAGCGTATGGATAACCCGTTACAGACAACTGTCGCTGTGTCCTACTTCGTATAGCACCAGCGTCTATGCCCATTTCTAAAGCTTGCCTTACTGGCCCTGTTGCCATTGCTTCTTCTATCGTCATCGGGACCGATGACATTTGATTTTCCCGCTCAATTGATTGTTTCATTAAATCTTGAACTTGCTGTATATAAGTGTTTCCTTTTACTAAACGCACAAATGGACATTGTGGATACCTAAAATTAAAGAATTAGTGGTGTCAAGTATTTGTTCACTTCAAGCAGGTACGCAGTTAGGCAGTGATAATGAAGCAAATGATATTTTAATGTCCTTTCTATATTAAAAGATGGGACAACAATAGGAAAATGAGGGATATTTAATGGTGAGCCGTGATCCACTGTAGTGTTTTCATTTTGTTTTACATTGTACCCGCACTCTTGACAGTTTTCTTAAGTGTCTTGCATTTTGTTTTGAAATGCGCTTAAAACATACTAAAAATATACATAACGTGCGTATACTTGACCGCCCGCTAGGGAATTAACATTTCTTCTACAAAGTTAGCGAGTTAAACGTAAAAAATGAAAAAAAAACTTACCACTTGGCATGTTCGAACCAGGGATCATCTTCTTTTTCCCATGACCGTAAACCCATATTGCAATGGAAACAACGCACTTGATCATCGACTTCTTGATAGTATAAACCGGCTTCAGCTAAAGCGACGGGCTTCTGAATATCTGGTATTGGCCAATTATTGTATGTACGCAGTCTAGCATCCAGTGAAGAATATTTCGAATTTTTAGGCGGAGATATTTGTTGAATTCCTAAATCTCGTATACCGTCGCTCGCCATTTCAATAAGTGGTCCCAGCTGAACACGAGGGCAATCTGGGAAAAAACGACGATGTTCTTCAAAGGCGTTATCTTGCTTTTCCCATTGCGCTATAACACCTTTACACCATACACATTTCACTTCATCTGATCGGTTGAGATAGAAGAAACCAGCTTTGGCTAATGATACGGGCGATATGTTTGGATTCTGCAAGCGAAAAAAAAAAAAAAAATTACAAACAATTAATGTCAACTTTTATACCTGTAAAGAAAATGATTTTTAAATACCAAGCATATGTTTTATTAAAAAAAAGAACTTCCCGATCTTCGCTAATAAAACCTTTCCAATGTGCTTGCATCTGCAAGGGATTGTTTAAAGAATTTAGCCAAACATGTGTGATAAAGTAAAAATGCTTTTAATGTGAGCGTAACTGCTGATGAAATGACAAAGAACTATTTCTCATGCCCACAGCGCACAGAAGAAAGCTTCGATTCTGTCTAATTTTTTGCAATCGCGCAAATGCCATTAAAAAACAGATTAAAACAAATCATTTAACTAGGAATTTAATGATGATTAATTTGTTATATATGTTTTTGTAGTTTGCGGTGTTAATCATTTCTTTTTAAAAGCTTTGGTATTTCCCTTAGTCTACTCTTTCCCTTGAAACTGAACTGTGATGATATATTTCTGAAATGAATTAATCAATACTATCCTTACTATTAGTTTTGAATGAACGGCATATATATATATGTACAAATAGTATTTCTCAATTTCAGTTAACACAAATGCTTGGTAGAGTAAGAGCAAAACATACTGGCCAATTTTTGAATGTAGCCAAACGATTTGATTCAATCATAAGATCTGGAAAATTTCGTTGATCTGAAGATTGATTAACTACGCCTGATGATGATAAGGGCTGTGAACTATCTCCATCTGTTGGTAACTGCATGGATACATTACCGCAACATGATCGATTCGTTATAAATTCACACTGAGGACTAACAATACGATGTCGCCTTTCTACTACGTCGCCGTATTCCCAATTACTTATTCTGCAGTGACACCAATTACACTCAGCCTCTAAAAATGGTCCACTAGCATAAAAACCACATTCGGCCAATTGTCGAGGATTTACTGGTGTATTTGCTGGCCATGACACAAATGACCGCAAACGTGCTTCCTCATTGAAAAACTCGACATTCATACTCGCTTTCCCAGCACTTAAAATTGCGTTCTCTCTGCTTCAACTTCAACTTATATATGTAACTAATATCTCTTTTTCTATATATTCTTTTTCACTACGTAATTCTTGCAAAATAAATCAAACAAATCTTAAATGTGAATAGATTGGTAGCCTTTTTAATTCTGTTTTTGTTTGTTTTACTTATATGAAAAAGGCTATTGACTAGAAAAAAAAACTTTTTAGGTGATGAATATATGATTCGTCTTATATATTATGTGAAAAATTATTTGTATGTATGTAAGCAATGCTTCCTCTTATTTCATGCAAGATTTAATCAGTCAGCGTTGACATATATAATATGCAGTGGTACCGAAATCTAATAATTTCAGTGCCTTTGCTCCAAATCGTATCGGAATTCTTACATTCACCTTCAAAATACATTCAAAAATGATAAGAATAATGCTTCCAGCATCAAGATTCTGCATGGTTTGCTTGTAAAATTAAAGCTAATTGGAAAATGTAAATTATTTTATACATAGAAAAATCCAAGCACGGACAACGCCTTGCTTGGATTGCCTTTTTATAAGATGTATTTGTAATGTCAATCCATAGATTTGAATTATTCGCCGAGCGCAGTTTGTATAAAATTAAAAAAATTAAAAAATATTTCGCAAAAAACAGTTCACAAGATCTTTTCTTTATCGGGCTGAAGTCATTTGTTATTTATTTACATTCATTAAGCCTCATAGTCTAAATTTTCATTTTCGCATAAGGAAAATCAGTCGTTTATATAGTGTTTATGAAATGCGTCGCAGGCCCCTAATAACTTCAAGCCATTTTAAAGAACAAATTCTGTTTTAATTTGAGAAAACGGACATCAATGCAATGTGGAGGATTCCATATGGTATTAAAATCCTCAAGCCCCGCATTCGTTACGAAATTTTTTTTCGTGCAGCTGCTAAGTTTTTCTTAATATCTAAGATGCCACATTCTGTACGTGAGTATTTAAATTCACTTCTGCTACGAGATGCTAATCTAAGAAACAGTCTGCATATAGCTGAAATTAGCGACCAGATTGAATGTTTATAAAGTTGGTTTTCGATCAATTTATATAACCAGTGAGAAGCTAATGGACTTACACTTGTCTTATTGAAATTTCCCATGGTCGTTCATTTATGAATGTTCAAACGACATTGCAACGGCTACTTCAAAACCATGAATTTGAAAAATCCAAAATTCTCTCTTTTTAAGAGTACGCCGCAATTCTTTTTGCTTTTGTATAGTTCACTTAGTAAGCTTGCCCGCTATGGTTTCATTTTTAAACTCACTTCTTAAATCCGTATTTTATTCAATCGAAAAGCTTATTTAGTTTTACGTTACTTTTCATAAATTAATTAATTAATTGTTCAAAATTGTTTTTTTTTTTTCTTATTTCACTTTTACAAAGATTTCCTTACTTTTCTTTACAGTAAGCCAAGCGAGCGCGAATTTTTTAATTTCAATTTAATTTCCAGGACTGACGTCATTCCCTCTCCTATGTTGCACGTAAATATTTGAAATCAAATCGTATTTTGGCATTTCTTGGCATTTATTTGGCACGATGCACGATTTTATATATACTACATAAAGTTTTGACGTAGTTACAGCGATAAAAAGAAGAACAAGCACGATCAAACACATATTTTATCATATTTTCACCTTAACATAACTAAACGCTGCACAATTTGTCCTTTAAAAGCAGTAGGGGCGGGTAACCCTGTTAAATTACAATCAGAGCAGTATGTTTATCTTTTTCTTTGAGAAATTGGAAAGCACTAAGATTTCAGGAAGTTGGCAACGTAAAGGTAGATGCCGTTCCTTATTTGAAATTTGTTGTAAGCGGAGAGCGCGGATTCCAATCTTCATCGAATTTATTCAAGTTATAAAAGGCAATGTTTTCTTTGAAACTCTTCGGCATAGAAATGAAATTAAGTTATCTTACCTTGAAAACAAATGGACAATGAACTCATCGATTCAAGTACTTTAGCGTATGAAAACATTGAGTTAACAATACGAAAGCAGCACTGAGCATGAAAAAATGTTGGAAGGCATCTTTTAAAAGGTATTATGCGTGATTGGGAGGAATACGTTTTATCGTCTCAAACATCTTTGCCAGCGAAGAATAACGGAAAAATGTGTAAGGAATTATAATGATAAGTTTAAATTTGAGTATATCATGGTCAAGTTATGTTCCATTGCGGGGCTGGAAATATAAGATTTTAAAAGAAAAGAGAAGAAGTTTCGAAGACCTTGTTATTCGTGATCTTGATATTGCAAAAAAAAAAAATATGCTTCCAAAAATTAAAGTTCGATTCTGTTAAAGTGTGAAAAATTAGAGTTCGACACACTAATAAGTGTGAGAAATTAAGGTTGGATTCCGTTAAGGTGTGAGAAATTAAGTTCGATTCTCGCAGAATGCAATATTGAAAATCTATATTATTAAGAGGGTTTATTCCTCTGGAAGTATTGTCCTATTATATAATTATGTTGTTCTTACTTTTCTAGCTATGGAGCTCAGTGTGTCTCGGGCGTCGCTTACAAAAGCTGACAACTGGATGCCCATAAATTTAATTGATTAGATTTTGTCCGGCTACCGTGCGCTGAAAAAAATATGCCATTGCTATGGAAATGTCAGAAAGGTAATGATCCGAAACATTAGTTTATTTTGGTGAAAACATTGCTCCTGGATCATATCTCGGTCTTAATCCTGTTGAGAATGTTTGGAGAGGACTAAAGTATCATGTCTGCTGTAGTAGTAGAAAAAATTGGAGCAAAATGAAAAAAAATATGCTATAATATCCCATACACACGTATATGATATATAAGTGATTTCTCAAACAAATTCCTTTAATATTCCTGAATATTAACCTTTGGACATTCTAAAATCAGCTTCAGAATCGAATATCAATTCTATATATTACTTTATTAATACTACTAAGCTCATTATCTAATGTACATTTATTTAAATTAGAGCCGATAGCCTGTGTTGCTAGTGCTCACTGTCTTTTTTTTTTTAGCCTAAGAATTTATTTCAATAGTCTAAAATTATAATAATAATAATAATAATAATTCCTGAATATGGATGAAAAATGATTGAAATTATTGGAAGTACAAATTAATTCGATTCGCCTCCTAAGACAAAGTGCCAGTAGTACTCTAAGGTGTTGAATAAAACTATGACTTCTTTGTTTAAAAGTACTATCTTCGAGCTATATACAAATGCACAAATAATCGAAAAATCACACTTACAAAGCGGCCCGAATTAATTTAATATCCCAATAGCTGGAGAGGTTTATATTATGTATGAAGTGAAATGTTGAAGTAATTGGTAATCTCTGCGAATGTTAATTATTCATCCTTTTATGCCAATGAGCTTGGTTCGTTTTATGAATTAATTCGAAAAACGAAGAATATCGTTTACGTCAATGGTTGTTTCCGCCCGCCTAAACTTGCGAAAAGAAAGTTCGCTTGCCGGATTTCTTGAGCTACGTCTCATTTGGGAAATTCTAATTTCCAAAAAAAAAAAAAAAAATGGGCAAGTAAGGTTTCTAGCTTGTGTAGTTGACTATAGCTATCACAAGTACTGTAAAATCGTGCAATAGGCATAATAATATGTAAACGCTATATATAATCATATAGCGAACCCTGCAAAATCCATAAGGCTTCGATTTTCACAGTTTAGTTTAAATACGCCATTTTATGTAAAAAAGCAATGTAATCTTTTTTGAATTTGGCATTCCAGTACAATGTTTTTCTGATATGCTTTTTTTTAGTTATTTTTGATTATTTGATTTAAGTTTTGAACTTTTAAGGTAAGATTTACGTTTTATATATGCTTGCAATAAAGAGATTTTTTGTTTAAAATCTCTAATCTTTTTATGGGAATTATTGTTCTTACGACTGCCAATCATATCTACACGACATAGAAAAACGTAAATGTGGTAACACTTTAAGATTATAATATTAAGTGAAAAACTGATTGTAAATTTTCGCAAAAAATAAACAAATTTAGAAAATATTCTTGTGTGTGTGGTTTGCAAAATATATATTTAAAGTAATTCATTCCAACGGTCATAAAAATTATGTTTAAATTAAATCGGAATTTCGACATGAGAAGTACAAATTTTCCCAATTGAATACAAACGCAAGAAAAAGTGAATTTTATACATATAAATATTTCAATGAACGACTAACTGTAACAAAAATGCCTGTGGAATGTAAATGAAATGACAATTTCTAATGCATATGTTAAATGTAAGTTTACGGATAGACGAAAAATCTTTTTTCAAATGCAATAAGAAATTTGCATTTTTTCTAAATGAAATTCTACGCCCTTAGTTCATCGTCATTGCTTTGCACTGCTCCATCCCGACTTTTTCTAAACCATCATATACATATATATTTGTCTCATTCCGATCAATTTATAGAACGTCCATTAAGATATTTGTGGTCTTTTTCTCTTGCGCAGATGACTAACCGCCATTTTCAATTAATATCTGCAGTGTTTTTGTGCAAAGTGTTTGCTATTGTGTGGTGCATTTCTCGTTTTCCATCCATGATAATTCCTACATCAAATGCGAAAAATCAATAAGATATTTCCTGTTCAAATAAAATTAATCTACAATTCTATGTCACGTTATTTTCAAACGGATACATGTTAATATCGAATGCAGTAACATTTTTTTGCATTTCTTTTTTTTTTTTTTCGTCTTTTTTATGTAATCAAAGGCAAGAAATTCGCACTTGCAAGGTTGGCAGAAAACGAGTGTTTACATTAAAACAGCTTTCGTTTTACTATTTAGTACGTAAACTATTTGAAGAGCCTTACACGTTCGCATGTAAAATTAGTAATGGGGAACAGATGATTTCCTGATCACTGCTGTTTATTTGAAATTTGTTTGTGCTCATGTAAAGCCAATTGCTTAGTCTGCTTGTTGAAAAATGTGTAAAACGATTTGAGTGAAGGTGTATGCAACACAACCTTTCATGCAAAGCATTCGAAATATGTTGCGGAGTAGCTTGTTGAAATTTGCGTGACACCAGCAATAGCCATTACAAGTACAACAATTTAGTACAATTACGTACATGCGGAATCAAGTTCAGTTCAGTATATTTGCCTTTTTTATTTTTAATTTTCTTTTGCTTTAATCTAAAATAAATGAATACATTCATGCGTATATTAAGTGAGTATATCATACATATGTCTGTTCAAACATCCGTCGATGGATATAAAGATGTGCCCTTTCCAGTGTGAATGTGTGTATGTATATATACATTTATCAAGTGTGCGTATATGTGTGTCCATGTGTGCTATATTATCGATAGCTAATTGACTTAATTAGATTAAGTGAAAAAACCAAAAACTATTTCGGTTTTTGCAAATATTTTCTTTTATTTATTTATATTATTTTTTCGTGTGGAGTTTATGTAAAGTGGAAGTTTGTTGCAATAGAGACTAGTTCCACTTTTTTCTTTCCTTTTATCGTTTCGTTACGCTAACTGCAGAAGTGTTTACATGTTTTTTTTCTCTTTACTTATAGATTTTTACCAAATATCCATCTGTTATATTCCATCTTAATATCTTTAACACACACGAATATATTGCATGTACGAAGAATGTCAAAATTTTTGTATGAACGATAAAAAAAAGCCACAAACGCGGCATAGTGTGGCTCAATCTTAATTAATTACATTGTTAAACTGTAAAAAAAATTCAACACACAAAGACAAGAAAAATCGACGAAAATATGTCATTCATCAATAACCTGAAGAAAGTCTTCCATTTGGGAGGTGGCGAAGCCAAAAAGAAACGCCATTGTAACAACATAAAAATGGACGCCGATCCCGCAGAAATTTGGGAAATTGTTGGCGAGCTAGGAGACGGTGCTTTCGGTAAGGTATATAAAGCCCAACACAGAGAGACCAAACAATATGCAGCTGCTAAAATGTGCATTTTGGAGGCCGTCGCAGACTTAAGCGATCATATGGTAGAAATCGATATATTATCCGAAATCAAGCATCCTAATATAGTTGAGTTGTATGAAGCTTACTTTATAGACCTCAAATTATGGGTGCGTTCACGTTTCTCCTCTTAACCAAATCGTAGATTTTTCATTGTTTATTAATATCGATCTCTTGTATATACTTTAGATGCTTATCGAATATTGCGATGGCGGAGCCCTAGACAGTATCATGGTTGAGTTGGAGAAACCTTTGAATGAACCCCAAATCGCCTACGTGTGCAAGCACATGACGGAAGGTCTTGATTTTTTGCACAAAAACAAAGTAATTCATCGTGATTTGAAAGCTGGCAATGTCTTATTAACGATGGATGGTGGAGTAAAGCTGGGTAAGTTAATGTTTTCTTTTTCAATAGTTTTTTTGTTTTAATTTTCATTATTTGTAAAAAGATATTTTTTGGAAATAAGGTTTTTGCTTGGATTAATTTTTACAGGATGTTTTTATAGGATGTTTACTTCTCATGACTGTTAACTGCCACTTAGATATGCTCTTTTCGAAAGTATTCCTAAGCAAGAAATGTGTGTCTTTGAATTTTAATCTACATTTGCAAGATAGTAACGAAAGCAGAATATAAATCGAATTAGATTCGTGGTAGCACTTGCTTTTAAAATTTCGTTTATTTTGGAAGAGTATTAGAATGCAACATAGCACTACGTCACGTCGTCTAAATGATTAAAGTCACACATATCGAGTTAAAAAAATTGAAAAATAATAAATTAAATAGTGTTTTAGTTAACATTCCTGGGAATTCATGCAAGAGTATCTGTTTTCTATCTTCTAAATAAAAAGTAGGGTTAATGTATTTCCCTTAAGAACTGTAATTGTCGGCATTTGTATCAGGAAATCCTCGAAAACTTAACTAACTTTGTTGTTTCGATAGCTATTTTCAATTTTATGTGTATGTATGTGCTCTCATTTAGAGTAGTTGACTAAGGGAAGTTGGAAAGGTTTTCTTAAACTAAATTAGTTTTATCTGCTCATCAAAAGTGATAGAATGTATGAAAACACTAAAATTAAGATAATAGGTTGGAGGGAAAGGTCTGTCGTATTTTAAAGAAAATATTTGAATTCATTTATAATATTTTTTATTTTTTATTTACAAGAAAAATTACTTGCCTATTTAAAATACGACAAAACTTTGCCTCCAACCTATTAGAAATCTGGATTTGGAGTGAGTGCACTAGTCTTGAGCGCATCTGTTTTTCTAGTAGCTATAATAAATATCTTTCGAAAATCAAAGCAAATGAAAACAAGTAAGAAAATTATCTTCTGCCACGACTGAATTTTTTATACCCATTACCGTTATCCATCGTATATCGTCGTGACGTCCGTAACATTTAATTTAGAGCAAACACACTTAGCTTAGTCTTTTTATTTGACATCCAGTTGATTATACTGCTAAGAAAAAAAGAGTCTTCCACCTTATGGTGGTGTTCACCATATTTGTCATGGAACTAATATATTTTTAGACATAGAACATTTTCAAATCAGATGCGTACAGAATAATTTTTAACATTCAGTCTTGTTTACCTTATGAGTAATAATTAGGAAAGTGAAAAAATTAATAATTTGATAGAATTTTGCATAGGAGTGACCTGAAAGACAGACCACCTATAGAATATGAGCGCAATACCAACTTGGACCAGGAAGATGTTTAGCACAGACGCTGCACAGAGAGGCAAACAGACAGACAGGCCAAGATCAAGAATATATATACTTTATAGGGTGTTGGAAGCTTCCTTCTAGATGTTGCGTAGATTTTGAAAAAATGCATACACTCCTCATCGTTCGGTGACGAATATGAATAAGCGATTTAAATTTCAGTTATAGAAAATAATTAAAATTTAATTATCTATGTCTGACAGATGGCATAATTAGAAAGAAAATCGAGGAATTAAATTGCAAATTTTTAGATTTTACATGCCCTTGATGAACTTGTAGGGTTACTTTAGAACATAGGCATAAGAAGTCGTATGAGATCTCTGAATAAAATGAACATACCAAAGATTTTTTTTATAACACATAACAAATGACCTGGAGCAGATCTAACACTGGTAAATCTGATTATTGGAGAATACGGATGAATATAAATTTTTGCAAAACCTGTCAATATCAGCATGAAAACGAATCGTCCTGATAACTTGTCCCCCGCCATGCAATGCTTTGAAAACAAAGCGATGTGCACTCCTTGGCAGTATTTCCTTTAATGGCCTAGTGAGTCACTCCTTGCCTGTGATATGAAAAATGTAAATAAATTTTTGCGAAATTATTTTTCCTTTCAACTTGATTACCTGGTCATCGTTTGTGCTAACCTGAATGTAGGGCCTATTATGTATAATATAAGTCACACTTGAGTAGAGTTAATATCTGAACTTGTATCGAGAGCCAAAAAGGAATAATTAAAGCTAATAATAAAAGATTTACAAGTGAATCAATTCTAGCTGATGAAGAACATATGCAATTTATGGGGAATTCGTCGTTTGCTTCACAAATATTTGACAAATTTTAATGCAGTTCTAATAAATACAAGAAGGACGTCTGAAATCTAATATAAATATTTTACCTTCATATCATGCCGATGATAATGAAATTTACAGAAAGCTGGACAAGTTTTTTGTATATCTTCGTTAGGTAGACATAAGAAATTTAGCTAAGATGTACAAAATCTTATTGCATTTGCAAGGACCTGCTTGATGCAAATTATGCCCTGTTAACTAGAGCGTTTTTTATATATTTTTATTTGCAGCGGACTTTGGGGTATCCGCTAAAAATAAACATACTCTACAAAAGCACGATACTTTCATTGGAACACCATATTGGATGGCTCCTGAATTGGTGCTCTGTGAAACGTTTCGTGATAATCCATACGATCATAAGGTAGACATTTGGTCTTTGGGCATAACGTTGATCGAACTAGCACAAATGGAACCTCCCAATAGTGAAATGTCGCCGATGAGAGTATTGCTAAAAATTCAAAAAAGCGATCCACCAAAACTAGATCAACCGTCAAAGTGGAGCAGAGAATTTAATGACTTTCTTAAAAATGCTTTAGTAAAGGTTTGTATATATGTCATTTTTTTACCCTCCATCATATAGGTACATCTTGGAAGGTGTCTTGTGGCGTTGATAAATTGAAAATAATCTTTTCTTTTTTAGGATCCCCAACAGAGGCCAACTACGGATAACTTAATGCTACATTCGTTTATAAATCGAGATATTGATTCGAAACCGGTAAAGGATCTCTTACTCGAATATAGAGCTGAGGTGGTAGAGGAGGTAGTGGACGACGAGACAGAGGTAATTAAATGGATTTTATTAACTTTATCTTTTTTTTCAATTATTGCTTAGATGATGGCTTTTAAGAAACCCATATAAAATTATTTGTTATTGTATTCCTTAATTGTTTTTTTTTTTACACGCCGCTAATGTACTTGTTGTAAAACGCTTACCGCATTGCACACAAATTCTAAATTTGTTGATTTGTTAGAAGCTCAAACGACAAGTGAAACGACGGTCACTTTATCAGAGGGTTGGTAAGTCGTTCGGCTTCTGTAAAATTTGTATCAATTCGCTATACAAGCATTGCTGATTTTAATTCCTTGTTATCTATAAATTCTTATCCATAATACATTCCCGTTTGTTTGTTTGTTTTTTTTTTTTTTTTCGTTTATTATAATTATTTGTTAATATACATTAAATTAAAGTGAAAGATAAGATGGCCTTTAAATATTTTCTGTATGATTTTCTTTTCTTTGTATTTCAAACATTAATCAATTATTTTACAGAAAAGCAGAAAATTCGGATTATTGTGAATATTATTTTAAACAGGAAGTGTCCCCAGGTCATATATAATTGGTAGGGTGGCTCTTCAAATTTGATTTGCATTCTTGAAGTTTGCATAATTCATAAATCGTTTTCCTTTCGAATCATCAACTGATCAGAATTTTATAGTTTGTCATGATGATCCAACGAACAAACGGGTTAAATTCTAATTAATTGACTTAGGCGCTTTATAATACCGGCAGTTTAAGGTTCACCAAACTTATCGACAAAAATTTACCAAAATATCTTTACCAAAAGAAGGGATATCAGCAATGTTCGATTATCTCAAACTTACTTTGAGAGAAAATCGTAAAGTCGATACGTATGTAAAAGATTAAAGAGAATTAGCCCACAAAAGTTTGCATTTTGACCGCAAGAGTTAGCTGACTGCTTAACATGCTCTTTCTTCATCTATCGTACCTAGCTTGATTTAAGTCTGACCTTAGGCTTCCGAAATTTAATAAAGGCTTCTTTCCCAATATCGGTCTTCCTTATGACGGCCATTACCGAGTACCGACCATGTGCCGAACTTATTTCCGATTCAAAATAATCCTACTCATAGGTTAAAAGTCGTCTAAGATACCTAGTAAACTGAGCACGGAAATATACTCGTGTATACATCCAATATTCTTTTCACTTCTTGCACTTTTGTGACTTAAGAGGAGATGAAAGAAGTGATGATGTGTACGCATCGATTCGTTTTTTTTTTTTTTTTTTTAAGTTTTTTCACTTCTCAGCGATCTCTGATAAGCGGAAATTGATACAAAACTAAACGGTAAGCTTCGTCAAGTTGAACTGTTTCATAATCGGATTATATATAGACTTAACCAATTTGAACTGGGAATAAAAGGGAAAAGAAAGCACAATTATGCTAAAGTTGGCTTAAAATGTGCTATGAAAATGGGTAAGACTCGAATGCGATAACGATATCAGACAAGAGAGGAGAGGAGAAATTTATGCCGAAAATTTCACTACTTTATATATATTTATTGTTTCCTCGCTCAACAAAGCGTTCGCTTACGTTAAGTGTTAAGCAAGTCCTTTGACGACTTGAATCTATAGATAAAAAATTCAGGGAAATATAAATTTGAGTAAGTTCATGTAGAAGCATTTTTCTAAAACTCTTTCCACGAGTTCGAAAAATATAATCTTAAAAGAGATAAAAGATCTCGAATCAAACAATTAGATTAGATAGCATAAGTAATTTTACTTGATCAACAATTCTTCGAGTATGACGGTACGTTCTTGTATAGTCTTCTGTGACTCATCTTTGTTTCTTCAACCTCAAATGAACTGTCATGATAATGGATTTCTGAACGACAGATAAAATAAAAGTTTTTTTGTTGCAAAACGTAACGGACCTAAAAAGAGCATCAAGTAATGTTTTTCAATTCTCTGAAGGAGTGGGAATACATTTTGCAGATTAATAAAATGCTTTAGTGGATTCATTTCGCCGAAGCTTGTATATAAGCAAAACATTTTAATTTCCCTGTAGTAAGTACTAAAGAAGGTGCAATTTTCTCGGCAAAGGTTTAATGAATTCTTGTCATTGGAACCCCCAATACTGATTATACATTTTAAAGCGATTTATATGAAAACAAATATTAGAAGACAATATTAGCCTACACGACCTTGGACTCTCTTCAAGCGGAAACCATGCGATATTTTAGACACCACCATACGAACAATTATTACACATAATACAGCATTAAAAACATTTTCATAATTTTATTTATATTTATCTTAAAAAAAAAGTTAGTATCGAATTACTTGTGGCCTTCAGGAATTCATTCATGAACAAAAGAAAAAAAAATAAATAATAAAAGTTCGACATTGTATTTACTGGGAATTTTGATTAAAATTAGAAGACTAAGATCGCTTAGAGGTAAAACGCCTGAATATAAATAAATCTCATAGACATTTTTTCATTGCCGCAGGTCGCTTTTAAATACTTTTCGCTCTTTAGAAAATAAATATGATTCTCCTGATTGTTTAGAAGAATATCACTTTCAAGCCAGGTATGCCCGAGTTCTTTTGCAATATCAGCTGCCTTATATTTGGGCTTAATCTTAGCGGCTTATTTATCAGCCGTTGGAAAAATGATTTCGATTTAGAAGTGAAGTCAAGTTTCTCTTAAAGATTATCGCTTGTTATTGTGAATGCCGTTAGCAGCCAATCTGTTTCTATTGTAAAGAATTTAAAGGCGGTTTGAATAGAGTTTTCTTTGAAATTTTAAACCGAAACGTGAAAAAAATGATTTGCACAAGAAAAGCGTTAATTATTGTTTTTGTATTATTCTCTACAAGAAACTAGATAACGCAATTTACGAAAGTGTGGAATGGAAAGTGTGGACTTAACTATACGCAGTAATGTTATCTTTATACTTTATCTTAACACTGCTGTTCAACAGCAGCATTTAATGGGATCTTAGCTGTATTGGCTTAACAGTAACAACTTGACGTTTCTTGTCGAAGAGAAAAATCGAAAGCTAATGACAAATACCGTCAGCAATATTATCAAATGAAATGGTCACCAAAATGGCCAATTGCAAAAGGCACACGAGAACGTGATCGAGGATGAGAAGTCGAACATTCTAGATGTTGGTGCTTGGTACTTGATTTTGCCGCTTGAGCATTGCCGCAGTGTAGAGTTTAATAATATCATACCATAGCATAGGAATATTTAAGATTTCTTAGAAATTATATTGAGGTTATATATTTAGTCTACGCACTTTCTCGTTTATTCCATGCGAAAGGAAACTTTTGAATTTCATGTTCTATGGAGCATCACGAAAGAAGAAAAATGTAGAAAATCCTTGTATTCTTTCTCCACGATGAAGTTAGTTAATTGATTCCTTTATTTTTTCTCTTTCACACATTTTCTTACGAGCTTGGACAATGTAAAATTGAATATTATTTTTTGTGATATTAGGCTTTGTAGCTACAATTGGGTAAGAAACTTCCTTGTTATCGCTTATAGTAGGCATTGCCCTTATTAAGAGATGTTGTTATTTCGCTAGTAAGATCAAGAGAAATACCTGTCGAAAAATTTGGAATTTTCTGCCTAATAATCTGCCTGCTGTAAAGTGCTTGATTCAAAGAAATTGTTACAGAAAACTAGATGTTCAAGTGTAGATAGGTAAAGGACAGGATTGTGCCTCCATAGCTGATAGCAACTATAGAAAATATCTGCAAAAAATGTAGTACTGGAAATGTAGCTACTGTAGTGGGTAATGACCAACCATTAAATCCCCTACTAGCTTCGCTTAATATAGTTATTCGTATGACAACTTTTCAAAATAAGATATCATAGGACAAATAATTGAAAAAGTCCTCCAATCCGAACCGTTTTCAATAGCGAGCGTGTTTCCTTGGGTTAAAATATGCCAGTGTACCAAATTTCATCCAAACATGTACTTTTAAATTGCGACCGTGACTCGTTAAGTCGATAATATTTATTTCGGCGGTAACAGAAAATGCTGAGAATTGAAATCGAAAACTTGGCACTCACACAATAAAGTAAGCGTGGAAGAAGTTTTTTGGACTTGTGTCCATTTTTAATGCCCGGCGAAGTTTCGTCGTAAGATTTCCTCTTTGCCATATTTTGTAGCAATTGGAGTAGAATAGCGTGCGGGGCAGGGTCATCGAATTTGTGTTGAATTTTATGACGCAGTAATCTTACCGTCCTGTCCAAGGCAAAGTTATTTTCCAGAAATCAGCAGCAAAGGGAGATAACTGTTTCGAAAAGATTGCTTTAAAGGGCGTGACAAATACTTTTATTAACTTGTTACACGTTTTTTTTATATTTAATTTACATAACTTGATGACTTAATACTTACTAATCATCACATGATTGCGTAACAGATTAAATTAAATTAAAATACAATGGGTCACAAGTAATTATTCGGCTTGTCATTTATTTATTTATTTTTATTTATTGTTTTTTTTTTTTTCTGTTTTTCTTTAATTTAACGTTGATTTTAATTTTATATTTTTAATGTAAATATACAGGAACCCCGCAACTCAGCGCTCCGTCTAGACCTGGACGATGACTCTTCATCGTTGCAGAGCCAAGATATTGACAAAGGTAAGTGAGAGAAGCATTGCTAATAATAAACTAAGGCAGATTTTTAAGCCTATAAAATATATTATATTTTTATTATATAGCACCAGGCACTCCTACTTCCGCAACCAGAGATTCCAAAGAACAATCTCACAATACCAGTAATGTGCAAGCAGTAAAACAACCTGTGTTGGATGGTGAGAATAATAATAAAACACCGGAATTATCTAAATCTCCGTCCTTGTCGTCTAACAAACTCATTATTGAGGAGGAAAATGAAAAGCCAATGGCAAATACCGTTGAAGTTTCGCCAGATGAGATGAAATTGTTAACACCAGGTTTAGCGAATAAACAGCATATTCAACAATTACAAAAAATACCCGAAGACTTTGTTATTGCCGAGGATGAGAGACCGAGCATTACGGATGATAAAAAGGTATTGAAAAGGACTTTTTTTTTTCTTGCTTTATTAAACTAGCACAGATAGGGAAGAAAACTGATTTTTTTTGTTTTATGAATTTTTAGGTTATTAAACGAGAAAAAGGCAAAGCACCGCCTCCTCCTATCAGTATGGCAATCAATGCAAAGATAAAAGATACAGCTGCCAAAGTTCTATTGCCGGCAATAGCACCGAAACCGAACTCTAATAAACGTCGGTTTAACGATGATAAAGAGAGTCACAATATCGATCCTCTCAATGCAGTCAGTAACATAAATGAAATTCAAAACAAAGAGAAGGAGAAAGAAAGAGAAGATAAGCTAACGCCAAATTCTTCTGCCAGTTCCCCCTCAACAATTTCTGTGCATTCCAATTCGTCGACGAAAAATGTCAGCTCAGCCGGAAGTATTTTAAGTACAAGTACATCTATGATTACTATAGGCAGTGATATGTCTTCGCCGTCACGCTCTAATCCGGAACAACTAGTTTATTCACAAAACCAAACAGTTATTTTGCCAAACAGTCTAGAAGCTGGCTCTGGTCAAATAACGGTCGTAACCAGCACTCATCCGCCAGTTATTATAGATAATACCGCTGCACGTTCTCCTCAACAGGAAACTGAAATTATTATTATATCAAATAATCTCCAATTGAAGACATTCAACGAATCATCTACCGATGATGACTATCCATCGATGGATGATAGTCTAGCAATGTCTTCTCCTCCATCATCTCACCAACAATCATCGTCAATGATTGTTACGCTTAGTAGTGAAAATAATAATATCGAAGAACCAGACCGAGCTTACACATTACCGCGTTCAAGCGGTGGTTCGCATGCTCGTAAATTAGACGAAAGTGAAGTCTTAATAGTCAGCCCCTCATTCACACCAGAAGACGACTCTGCTTATAATACGCCTTCGGAAAGTAATAACATTCACGATGAACAGCAAATAATGGACACAAGTCATGTTTCGGTTGTTACGGTGGGAGATGAAATTAAAGTTAAGGACAGCAGTCACTTTGGCAACAATCTAATCGACGAACATACATCCGTGAGCGGTAAACGACAGAATGGGCAACTTCGACAGCACACTTCCACTGAGGACGATGTTAACATAATCGTGAATAGAAATCGTAAATCACAATCTCCACCACAGTCAAGTGGAATTGTTGGAGAGGGCAGTGAAACGGGCTCGATGCGTTCTAGCTGCGGCAGTGGTAGTCGAATAACTCGTCGTGGTGGGGAGGTAAAGATTGCCGTGGCCGTTGATCGAAGCGATGTCGAAAGTATTTGCACTACAGCTAGTCACGACAGTCGTAATGAGACTGATGCCGATACAGAGGCTACTTTGCCTAGAAAAGAGTCTAACGAGGAGGACGAAGTCATTATACGACGTAAAGCAGTTCCCGGAGGTTATAAAGGTGGTTTCGCATCCACTCCAGCGCCAACCAAAGAGGAAATTGAACTTCGGAATTTACGAAAGAAGACTAGAAAGCGCACTCGCAAATTTGAAATTGATGGTGTACAGGTGACAACTACTACAAGTCGGGTGATATATGGAGATGAAGAGACTGGTCGTTTATATGATGACCATGTCTTCCGTAAACAGGAGTTACGCGAATTGAAAATGCTGCAAAAGCAAGAAAAGAAACAACAAAACGATTTACAAATGAAGGAGCAGATAAGCAAAGAACAACAGGATCGCCGTTTCGAACAAGAACGCATTTCATTAGAGAAGACGTACGAGTCAGATATGGATACGTTGGCGCGGCAGCATAAACAGTTGATTGAGAAAACGGAACAAACGCAAGAACATGAATTGCGTTCATCATCGAAACGCATTCGTGCCGAACAGGAGAAAGAATTAAAGATGTTTCGCGAGAATTTGAAACAGGAAATACATCTGCTAAAACAAGAAGTCGATTTGCTTCCAAAAGACAAACGAAAAGATGAATTTAAACAGCGACGATCAGCGATGGAACTAGATCATGAAGAAAAGGAGCGAGCTTTTCTAGATTCATTGAAAGAGCGGCACGAATTGTTGCTGAGGCGATTGAGTGAAAAACATCGTGATCATCTTGCCACAATACATCGAAACTTTTTACAACAAAAGCAAAATGCAATGCGAACGCGTGAGGCTCTCTTATGGGAATTAGAAGAGAAGCAGCTGCATGAACGACACCAGCTGGCAAAACGTCATGTCAAGGAAATGTGCTTTATGCAAAGGCATCAAATGATCGTGCGACATGAGAAGGAACTTGATCAGGTGAAGCGTATGTTGCAACGGAAAGAAGAAGATCTAATTAAGAAGCAGGCTTTAGAGAAGCGTGCATTACCGAAACGAATTCGTGCTGAACGCAAAGCTCGGGAGTTAATGTTCAGAGAATCACTTCGAATATCATCTAATCTTGATCCGGATATGGAACGAGAGAGGCTTAAAAAGGTGAATTAATAACAAAAAAAAAGTTATACTTCAACGAGTATTAATATTTATGCTCTTTTGGTAAATAGTTCCAGGAGCAGGATAAGAAGCGTTATATTCAGGAAGAGAGACGATTCGAAATTAAGCATCAAAAGCAATTAGAAGAGTTGAGAGCAACTAGAGAAAGTACTATAAGGTAAGAATTAAAATGGAAGAGGCTTCGTCTCCAATAGTACATCATCTAGCTTGTAGGATGGGATATCCCTTTTAAACCAAATTCTTCGGTGACTGATATCATTAATAAGAAAGAAATTGGTAGTCGATTGCATACCGACAGGCCAATCTTTGGGTATAACAAGCCATTAGGAATTTAATGTCGAAATGCTAAGCTTTTACATTAGTTCTATGCGCTGCTACGTAGAAAATTAAATACCTCTCAAGCACCGTTTGCCAACAGACGTTTCCGAAATAGTGGATAGGTTATTGTTGAGGTTAGGCACGATATTCGTCAAATGTTTGCTCTTTGATTAAATGAACCTTACTCGCTGCTGGCAGCGAGCCAGATGTGTTTTGAAGACTTACTTACAGTAACAGCGTTCCTTTCGTATTCGACCGCTTTACGTTGATAGACATACTGGACGTCCTTGTCTTTGTTAATTAAATTTAGTATACATCACCTGGATTTTTACGAACATTCTTTTAAGCCTTGACGCGAATTTCATATGAGAAAGCAATAGCGATCGTCACAGAGAGTAAAGAACTTTAGTCTCTTGTTAAATGTCATTTCATGTCAATTTGCGTAATTTTTATGAGAAAAAAAAAAAAATTTTTTTTTTGGTTAAATTACAGAGAACTTGAGCAGCTACAAAATGAAAAACGTAAAGCATTAGTTGAGCATGAACATGCAAAATTGTCGGAGATAGATGATCGTCTTAAAGCTGAATTGCGCGAATGGAAAGAGCAACTGGTGCCACGGAAACAGGTAATTTTTTGACACATGATGATTCCTTTCAGTTGAAAAGTTTAGGCAATTGCTTTTGCACCTACCTATGCTGTATAAGAGTATTAGTTGGTAAGAAATTGTAAAAAGAAATGTATTGAATATGCGCAAACTATGTACTGTTTGATGATGGTGATGAAAAGCTTAAAGATTTTATTACTTTTTTCTCTTTCACTTACTTTTATTTCTATTGCTGCAATTTGGCCATATATTGGGATTAATCTTCACTGCTAATTTAATATTATAATAATTATAATGTTCTACTACTACTAACAATGCTGACGATACGATTGCATGCTTCCTGTCGCCGTTATAATCGCTTCGGGATTCATTATCAATCTATGCATATATTATTTATACTTCAGAAGTGGAATGAGTTAATTAGTTTAATGCTTGATGAATTTGAAAAGCGATACGGTTCGCTTGAAGATCGTATGCAAATTCAGATGAACTTATCGCAAAAGCCAATTGAATTGCCAACGTATCTTGTTCGGATATTCAATGGCACGTCGCGTCAAGTGCCTAAGGGAGCATTTCTACAGCAAGCCCATGACGGGGCACGATCGCGTACCTCGTCACGGTTAAATGATAATTTATTTCGTAATTCGGTGCCCGATTTAAGTAAAAGTGTACCAACCACTCCTATATTCTATAAACAAGAACGACTGAGGGCATTAAAAGAATTGGAAATCATTGATCGGACAGCTTCCGTACCGCGTAGACATAGTAATAAAATGAATCTTTCGAATTCAAGTGAATTCGAAACAACAACTCTAACGAAATGTGATGATACGAACAATAGCCAGTCAGAAGAGATTTATCAGTTTAATCCTGAAGACTACGAAAAGCGTGTTGTTAAAATCAGGACTAAACCATATGTTTCCAACAATATAAATACATATGATAGGCCCAATTTGGTAACATTTCGAGCATCGTTCTCACATTCACCGCAACCGTATGAACCGTATGGGTCCAGTGACGATTTTATGCCCAATCGATTTTCAAGATTATCTATTAACGATGATGATACGACTATGCTGCGTCATCAGGCACAATCACTTCTGTTTCCTTCCTCTTCTTTTGCTATAAAACGACCATCGCTTCTGCCCGAGCGTAGCATGTCTGTCGGAGGCTCAAAATCATTGCATAATATTCACGAGACATCCGCAAATAACATGCATATGGCCAGCAATGAAACTTTGCCTAAATCACGTATCGATGAATCTAATTCAAGAACCGCTGCTCTATTAAATCAAATAGAACCTCAGCTGCGCGCATCGATAAAACGTGACGAAACCTCGTTGTACGAGACGGAAGACTCATATGAAGGAATGGTGCTTCGCACTGCCCCTAAATATATGATTCCAAGAGTTTTAAACAAAATAAGTGGAAAACAGTTCAGTTTAGAGGAAGAGGAAGATTCAAATGCCTAGAATTCCCATAATATTCCTACACTTCTACGCCTTGCACTTAATTACATGCATCTAATACACATATATATTTTGTTTTTGACTCGTTCCTTTCTGTGTTGTTATTAAAAAGGTGTATGTATGTTCATTTGTATTATTATTACAAAAAAAAAAAAAAACAAAAAACAAAAAAAAAAGACAAAAAAAAAAAACCGAAAAAAAACAACAAAGAAAGAAAACATCGAATTACTAATACAAGTTTATAGGCTCATTGCGAAGGCAGTTCTCTCTGTCGCTCTGTAGTAAATTTATTGTATAAAAATGACAACCCATCTTATGTAAACACACACTCGTTTAATAGTCATGCAATAAACTATCACGTGAAAGTTGAAGTTTAATTAGAGAAAAAAATTCATGAAATCATCATCATCTCTAGTGCCATTGAATATATGAGTGTATGTATATATATATATATATATATATATATATATGTATGTACAATGTCATAAGCCAGGTACACATTTAAGCTCACAAGCATATATATGTCATTGCTAATCTTTATGAATTTCGAAAACATTCTAAAAACTACTAATTAATGATTTTTCTTTTTTCTTTATTTTTTTTTTATTTTTTATTAATTGATTTAATGAAACGATGATTTATATAAAGAATGAATCAATTAAAAAAATTAATTTGCATTTAATTCTCTCTTCTTATTATCAATTCTCTATATATGCATTTAGTAATTCCCTATCAAGCTTATATGTGCATTTATACCATCTATGCTATGCATTCCATTGCATATTTAAGAGCGCAATCGACACTTGCAACATCTGTTAACGCTGTTCTAAAATTCATTTGCGGTTATTTGTCGTCAGCATATATGAAATTTCTAACCAAAAACAATTGACTTTTTACGGGTATTTTATCCGCCCACTTTTTACCGTATCAGAAAGATTTTTTATCGAATTATGTATCCATTTGAAGAATTTTTTAAGTAAAATTGAATGTTTATGAAAACATCATTACATTGTATTTTACTGAAATTATTTGTCCATTGTTTGCCCCGACATTTTCTATATTTCTAGCAGCCAGGGGATTATTCTGCATCAAAAGAACTTCTCGTCGCTTAAGACTACTCACGATTCGATCCATTTTGTAATATTGCAAGCACCGAAGCGCTACTCTGGTAGAGCATGAATGTCGGTAATTGAAGAGGCGTAATTATGATGTCTGACAAATGCGATTTACATTCAGTCGACCTTTTTAACGTTTGCTTAACGGGCTTTGCTATATCAGATCGAGCGATGCCATGCTCAAAGATTACCATATCGTGTGCTTTAACTCAATTTTTTCGCATCACTTCTTGTCGATAATCTTTCCTGGACCGATATAGATTTTGCTGTACCATCGATTTACTGGTTGGCCAGACCTTAGGTATGGTTTTTTTCAAGTTTACGCTGCCACAGTTAAAATACGATGAAAAACTCGTTTGCATCTTTGTCTTTGGAACAGTTTTTGGTTTGCATACGATTTCCATTTTCTTGCTTTTGAATTCTTTCCTATCATTAAAGCTTGTAAAAAAGGGAAGGGGCAGCAGTTCTCAAGAACAATTGACGATATCAGGAAAAAAAGTAGAAAACATCAAATGATAAGTAAATAAATAAATAGCGCAAAAATTATATAATAAACTAAAGCTCAACTTTAGGCATAGAGCGGCCGTAGTATTATCCAAGACGATATTGTTCAAATTACGCAGTTGGTTCTTCTTGCTTACACGAACACTTCGCAGGTTTATGAAATCCTTGTGCTTGCACTCAAAACACAAGAAACAAATCCATCTCATTTTTGCTTTGACACTAGTTTTCCGTTATGAGAATAACTTTGCTTTTGCTACTGATATGTTATTCGGGTTAACTTACAATATGTTCAGTCTCACACGGAAAGCAAATATGTGTAAACCACTTTTACATGCTTCCTCTTACTAAAGGCAGCTAGCAGCTGTAAGGCTTGCATTTCGTCACCTACAATAGAAAAAAAGTGCTTCGGTCTTTTTTGTGCTATGCTCGTATACGTTGGAATGGCGTAAATGGCCCTTGAAGGTTTTAAAAAGATTTCCCATCATATATATACTTTATCAGTGGCCAAATTTGTCATAGTCAATTTTTGTATTCGTAAACCTAACTCTGAAGGCTTTCAAATGCTTTTATTGTGTTCGCATAGTTAAAATATACTTCGGTGAAAGGCTATGGTTTTCCAAAATAAACCAAATTTGCTATGCCAACACGACTTACTTGAATATACCTGGTGCAGCTTTCCATCTGCCTTTTGTTCTGCCTATGTAGCAAACAATTACCTGAACTTTCGATCTGTTCCATGGCTTTTACGCGCGCATCGCTCTCTTGGACAGTGTTTGCCACATCACATTGAAATTGTTAGGGATAGATTTCAACCGTTCCAACGCAAACATTCACAAGAAAATGTTAACCGTCTGCTTAATATCCATAACATAAATACTTTCCATTAAACATGAATTCACTTTCAATAGGAAAAATGTTATTTTCAAGCTTCAATAAGAGCGCAATCAGACAATATATGCTCGCAAACGAGTAACGCCATCTCATGGATGAGGATCCACCCAGTTTTGTACCTATGCGCTTAGCCTTAGGTTAAGTTACAATGATAGCACATTTTAGAAAGAGACTTGATTGGGTCGCGTAGAAACATGGATCCAACCGTCACTTCGATCATGTTCTCTCTTTTGGGAGTCCGTTGTGGTTCAAAGCGGAATTAAGGCCTCGCCTCATCTCATCTGTACTAAGGCGTGAAAGTTTTCATTTACAAATGTTCTAATTGAAAGCAATTTAACTATAACTTCGACTGATTTCTAAAGAATCTGTGATGATTGCTTAATACAGTCTATTGAGTGCTATATCAGGACACTAACAAAACAAACTTACAGGCAACAAGTTGTGAACATAAATAATGAAGAGCCTACTTTCGATGCTTTCTATGTTACTCAATTCAATTCTATTCAATACTATTAAATAAACGCAAATGAGAAATCATTTATGTCAAAGACGTTTGTAAAAAGTTGTTTCTTCTTTTCTCTCTATAAATGTTTGCAGAAAAATTTGAATTCTAAAATGATGTGAAAACATCATTAATAACAAAAAAAAAAAAAAAAATTTCATTAAAACAATTCATACGCCATGTGTGCCGATTTTATGTAAACCTATCGTTCTCTGCAATAAACATAACAGAAAAAAATGTAAAGAACATTAAGAAAGGGAGGGGATAATAAATAAAAGGATTGCTTTGAAACACAAACCATTGTTATAGTAGAGGACAAGTCTTGCTTTATAGTTTAAAATTTGTCTTTAAAAGGAATGTTGTCTTGCAAGCAATCCTTTTATCGGAATGGTTGTCAAGTTCTTAGTGCAAGCATTGCTGATTCCATACTTAAAATGCAGAAATTTGTCTCATAATGCAAGGCTTTCTGTCCTACCTTTGAAGACTTGCATTATGGTACAAACTTTATCTTGCTATCTCAACTTATGTGAGTTATTTTGTAGCGCAAGCTTTACTTTAAAGTTGTGTTCTAAAGCAAGGTTTACCTCATAGTCATAATAAGTCGGCCGGAAACTTGGAAATGATTTTTTTATCCTCTAATGCCTTCCTTTGCAATAAATGTAATTTTCTCTTCACTTTATTTCTTTTTATAGTACTGAGCTTTCCCTGTACCGCAGTTGGGGCAATGAAACAAATTTTCTTTTGTAATAGAAAACTTGTAATCGCAATTTTTTTGTACAGTGAAAAAGTTTTGTTGAAAAAAGCTCAAAGTTTCGAAATGTTTTCAATTCTTCTACTTTCCAATTGCCTGCAAATGCACATCTAACCCTGTTGCAATATATGCTTTTCTTGTAATGCAGGTTTTTTGTGTTGAAGTATTTATCGTCGGGCAAAAGTAAAATTTTGTAGCAAAAAATTTTTGGTTTATGGCCGAAGGCTTTATTGAGAAGTTTTTGCTTGTTTTTCACTGCAACTATCCCTGCTATAATGTAAAAGTCCCTCCATTAAGAGGGAGGGAGATGCATAAGAGAGCAATGCACACAGGTCATGCGGATCGTAGTCGAGTTCCATATTGATTGAGTGTAAGCCACAAAACAAAATTTTTTGAAGGAAAACTCAATCGTGTTCTGTTATTTTTTTTAAACAAATTTTTCTGTAACACAAAGATGACGCAAGGGGCCGTCTTCTCTTCTTTTTTTTTTTCTAGCCAATACCTCTTAATATTTGCCCATTCCTGATAAAAGGAATATTCACAAAACAAGAGCTGCTTGCAAATTTATATTTCTTTGCGCTAGATCTGTCAGTGTGTTCCTTAGGTAACACTGTTAATCGACACCTTGCTACATGAAACTTTTATATTCACTTTTTTAAACTGACATATATAGTTTTGTACTTTGTTGTATAGAAATCCTGGTCTATAAACGCCATGTTATACACAGAACGTGTGTAGTGCGCATATATGACAAATGTCTTGTTATGGAGTAACCAAAGGTGGTACACAAAGGTATTCAAATTTCGTAAAGCAAGTCTTACCTTAAAATGTTCGCAGTGCAAGCGAGACTTTTCTTACGGTGCTAAAGCAGTGCAAACATTTGCAGCACTATCCGCATGGGTAGCCGAGTAACTGTAACGTGCGCGACTACCAAGCCTGCGTTCGCGGGTTCAAGTCCCAATATGGTGAACTTGACTTTGGTTGTGGTTATGTGTGTGTGCTGTGTACTCAGTCGATAAAGGCATAACACTAACTAATAGGCTGCGTCTACTTCCCTGTCTCTTTCTGTTTCCTCACCTCTTTCCGCCTGTCACGGTATTACACGACCGATTTGTCGTATGATAGAAAAAAAAAAGAAACTTTGTCATCTGCAACTGTTCATCATTTATAGTCGCCCTGTAGCGGTTTAATACAAGCCTTATTTTGCAAGCGGACATTTCGAACTAGTCTTAGACTGGCTTTGTAACGTCTGACATGTATATATATACATTATATATAATGTACACATATATCTTCAGAGAACTTATGATAGCGTGTTCCGTTCTGAATCCGCAAGTCTCACTTGTCCAAAAATCTTTCTAGATATACTCGATTCGCTTAAAGACGCAAATGCTGAGCCCGCATCTCGTAAAATCTTTGCTTGAATGATTTATGTTGCAGTGCAGTTGCACTTGCTGTGATGTGAGTAAAATTCTCTTCAATTTACTCGATTGTCAATAATATTATGAACATAGCTGTCACAATCTCGTTGACATTTCTTCTTATTGTGAATAACGTGAAATCGAATGAATGAATGAAAATATGCGAAGGCATACCGGAGGCATATATATGTTTAGCTAAAAATATATATTCATACGTACATATAATCGTACATTGTTATGTAATTAGATGAATAGCTTTGCACACGATCGATTTTTTACATATATTTACATACATTCTCACATTTCGATTAATATGCGTGGAATTAGATTAAAAATTTACGATATTATTATTACTATTATTATCATATTCTTGTTATTACTATTAGTATACATAATTAAAGTAGCGCTTCGCATTCATATCAGTTAACATTTATTTATCTCCTCCAACCTACACTTTTCTCCCCAACCTAACAATGTTTTATGCATTTACGATATATGGATTTATTGCCTACGAATCATAATTGAATCAAGGTTAGTGTTTATGTATATTTACTAATCTTTTAAATGCAGCATCATTCTTAATCATTAAAATACATTTTAACAAAAAAAAAAAAAAATAAAAAAAAAATAAAAAAAACATAAAAAAAAAATTATTCAAATTCTGACACGCACGCAGGATGAAATAAAATTTTTTAATAATCTTTTCTTTTTTTTTTTTTTTTTTGTTTTTTGTTTTTTATTTCAACGCATTTCTTCGACACTTATTTTAGCGATTAGATGAGACATTTACCAAACAGCTGGAAGAAATGGAATCGATGTACGGTGGAGCTTTAATAGTTACAATGCCTTCGGATACCCTACAACGTGATCATTTCACCGGTTCAACTCGTAGTAGCCTATCATCGTATTCTGAAGGTTAGCCTAAAACATTGCAACAACAACACAACACTTTTGTTTTTTACCATAGCCTTTCATCCAAATGCCAATTATTTTAAAAGACGAAATTATATAAAAGGAAACGAAAGCAAAAAAAAAAAAAAGAGAAAAAGCAAAAAAAAAGAAGAAGAAAAGGATATAATCGAATTACAACACACAGTATAGATATTTAATTGAAGCGAAGAGCGAGACGAATTGAGCACACACACACACACATATAGTTAGTTATTTGACTGAATTTGGCCGGCAAAAAAAAAAAAAAAAAAAAATTTCAAATTATCGATACATACACACACTTATAAAAATATTATTATTGTATGTAAAATATTATTATTTAAATTAAATTAAATTACATTAATTGCCTTTAAATACTTACACACAATTCACTAACACACTGGCAAACATCACACTTTAACACACACACACACACACACGAACACGCACATATACACACACGCACACGCACACACAGACACACACTCGCGCGAGCGCATATACACATACACATAAACGTATGTATATTTATGTATGTATTTTATTGTATTGTAATGTAATTGTATTCGTTTCGTCTATCCTACATAAAGTCTTATTATATATATGCAAACACACATACATAAGCACACACATAAACACACACACATAAAAACACACACACATGCGTACATGTTTGTTTACATTAAAAAAATTAAATGAAAGATATCTGTTTGTGTTAGCATTACAACAACTGTATATAGTATACTTAAAAAAAAAACCTAAACACATTTCTGCGTGTATATACGTATATATACGTACTTATGTACATCTATACATAAATAATAATTATAAAAAAAAAAACAAAAAAAAAAAAAGAATACCAATTAAAATGGTCGTACAACGTGAAACTTCATTTGTGTTTTGTGCAACATTCCTTTTCATCTAGTTATTCAGTGCGGATCTATGTCATCATCATTGCTAACTCTGCCAGGGGAAAAGTTACATGTGAATTGCTGAAAAGTCATCGATTAAACATCAATAAGTTAAGTGCATTTCACCTTGAATCTTCGATTTCAATAAATAAAACGTTATCCTAACTCATGTAACATCCCATTAGAAAAGATGCAGATGTCCATATATGTTGGTTGTCTGGAAAGTTTTCGACTCGAGAAAGAAACTTAAAATATTTTTCTTTAAATTTATTTTAATTTTTTTATATAATCAACTTGTTATGTTCATACGCTTCTCGTAGTCCAAATAGTATTAAAATAGTTATCAACGAGAGTGACGACCTCTCGGTTTGCCAAATGTTTTTGGCGCTCGAACGCAACTTATAGCTTAGGGAACAAAAGAAAAACCGGCTGTGGTTACATCTAGTGAGTAAGGATTAGGAGGATGGGGAGGGGCGCACAAGCTGTTCTCTTTTTAAACGCAATTTGTAACGTTTCGTAATTTCAGCCGCTAAGGTGTTAGCTGGCACATGACCAGCCAAGTAATGATGCACGTATGACGCAATACTGTAATGGTTCTTCCCTTTTTGAAAATAATCGATTAAGATAGCTCTACATTTGCCTGCAATTGTAGTGGGTAAGCACAAGCATGCTTTCCAACTTTTGAGGGCACGTGTAGCCTTTTTCATATTCAGATTGCAAAGTTTTCAAGCAACCTTTGTTTTTGTCCCACACTTGTGGTGGGTAAGCTAAAAAGTATACTTTCTAACTTTTGCGGCCACCTGTAGCGTTTTTCATAAACAGATCGCAAGCAATTTTCAATCAATATTTTTTTTTATCCCAAATTCAAGGCCATCTTCGAATAAACTGATTCATAGCTGTGGATCGTGGACTTGCTGTAGCGAGATGTCAATAAAGTTCTCACTATCGAAAGAAAATGCTTTCAAAGTTGCTCTCGGGAACGTTCGGTTGAAGAAAGTTGACCTTCAGTAACAACGAAGTCATTTTTGTATTATTTTGGGATGAAAATTGATTCAAAATATTGCTTTGACATCTTAATATCCTGCACCAAACTCGGATCATATGTATAGGTTCATATTTTAAACCGCTTCGTTATATGAAGGATCTCATGAAAAATAGGTCTTTTTATGGTAAGAAAGTCAAATATTTAGTGTTTTGTGATAAGATAGGATAAGTTAAGAAAATTCATTTTACTAAGCTTAGATCAGTGCAATGGTTTACGTGTGCCCAGGGTTCTCAGTTCGCGATTAATATGCTCGAGCTCGGAAATGCTGTGCAAGTACTCACATGAAAAACTGAGAATGGCCGTCAGGAACAGAGTCAGAGAAGAGATGAGAGAAGTAAATGAGGCACCGTAGCCTATTGTCTGAAAGGCGCTTTTTTGCTTAACGCTATCAAGCTACGGAACGCTGTTGCACGAAACTTCCAAACGACGGCTAATTGCTAATGTTAGTGGGCTTAAGGGCTTACTAACAAGATATTACAATGCAACTAAACGCTAAGGCAATAGATATTCTATTGTGTTTTTGTTGTCAACATTTTCTGTATTAATGAACATGCATCACAATTAAGACTGTACTAAGGGTATTATTTATGAACACTAATTAACATGTGGTCTATTTACTCATAACACACAGATACACCTATGATGTAATTTAGAAGACTTCAGCCTTATTACATAGGCGACATTGCTCAAAAAAATAAAATAAAAATAAAATAAAAGAATAATAAATTTGGATTGCAATCACGTCACAATATTCACATCATTTTCACAATACCGTGCATGACAGTTTGGCTGTAGCTTTCTTAGTCTTTGGCGAAAAGTATTCACGCGAAAATTCCCAGGCGAATAATTAAATTCGCACTATAATCATCACTGCCGCGCAATCGTTATCACATCACACTACAAATCTTAGTGAGCTGACAAAGGACCTGGGAAAATTCCAAATTTTGTCATAACAATCAAGTTTGTTTTGAGAAAAAAAAATAAATATATATATATATATATGAAAAGTAGATGTACGCAGAGCTACTTACCCTGGTAGTAATTCTTCTTTTGCAAACCGGTTTTCAAGATTTTTAAATGATTCCCTCATGCGTATAGGACTCTTAAACTTGAGCATGAGTAAGGTAAATAATGTTGCTTTGAAATACCAATCAGCAATGGGGAAAAGTTACGTTTACTGGGGAAGTGCAAGGTCTATAACAAACTTATGAGCCAAAAATACTCTTGTGAGGCACAGCAAATTACTATAGGAAGGGGCTTATTATTAATCTGAAGAGATTTACGAACTTTGGGAATACATGGAAGCTTTTATAGGATACGTAAATGATCTGTCACAATACAATGATCTGAACAATAAAATATCATAGGAAGAAGGAGGAATTTTGCACAGAAGGCGCTAGCAAGCAATCTAGGAGAACCAATAAATAGCCGGATTAGCTGAAAAGAGGCTGGGGTGGCTAGTATTGTGGCCTTAGTTGAAGTTAAGAAACGACAGAATTTTCCACTAGTACACCAAGAGAGTGGCTTTGATGACTAACTCGGAAGGGGTAGACTGGCGAAAAGCCAGACTAACGAGCCACTAAATTGGCCATTATGAAACAAAAATAATGATAAATAATCACAAGGGAACTACGCTGATTGCCCAGGGACTGATTGGAAAAGCGCTCAACCTGCTCTCAAAGAGTTATGTTAATGCGTAATGCTATGATGCAATGTTCCATTGATCCAAAAAAAAAAAGTAGGCTGACTCGTCAATGTTCAGTCTAGAGAGGGAGCGGCAGAACTTGCTTAAAAAGAGAAACAAGAGGCGTAATTGGTTGCGAAACGAATGACTATCAAGCAAAGCGCCAGCCGGTTAGCCGGGCAGACTAGTTAAAGTGAAACTTATGTGGAAAGACTCTGACATACTTTCTGCCACCATCGTTGATCAATTGGTCCAATTGATCCTTGACCCCGTTTGGTTGCCAAATTTAGAAATAAAATCCAGCTTTTATACTTAGTTTTCATTTCGTGTACCTTTCTATAAGACGCTATTCTTCACCATCCAAAAATATTCCCAAAATATATTAATACATAAATTCGGCTTTATACGGCATTGAAACGCCATTGATACGTATTTGTGCACATAGACTATAATCATCATCATTATTTTCTCTCCGTTTCAATATAAGGTTACAACCGATAGAAAGAAATAATAAGTGGGGAAATTGTAATCAGCTGCGACCGAAATTTTCGTACCCATCGCCCTCATCCTAGAACAGATTGAAAGAAAGGAAAAATATATAAATTTGTGTACTCCATAATATTTGGTGGGCGTGGCTGTTTTTTTATATTCTTGTAGAATACTGATCATCATCCTTCGGTGACGAGTATAAAAATACTATAGCGGAACACAGTCTGCAATTAAATACCATGCATAACTTTACAGTTATCCAGGTAATGACTTTTCCAAGTAACGCGTTATATGGAAAATGCTCAAAAAAATGATCCAATCCTCACTATTTTTAATAGCGTTTCGTCTCGGTACAAAACACGTCGGTCTCAGGAAAGCTTGAAAATTGCCGTCGATAAGTTGGACAAAAGAACACAAAACGGACAGTGAAGAATTTCGAAAACGATTTTGAATCGATTGGTATAATAAAAGATGAGTCTAAGCTCAAGTCCTTCTAGCTGTTGCATACATCCGCATAAATTTAATATACTCTTGCATCACAAGTGGTTTAGAGTATAAAAACCATGTCCAGCATCTGAACTAATTTTCTAATCTAAACTAATTAATAGCATTGATGCTTAACGCTAAACGAACCATATATCGAAATGCGGGGGCAATAAGCAAATATCATGCATTCATTTAAATAACATTTAATCAACT